GCAGCTTTTTTTTTTTTTTTTTTAAAAATTTTTTTCGCAGAACGGCCCGGAACCGGCGGTTCCGGCCGGTTCAAATTTTTCTGGAACCGGAACCGGGACCGTATGCCACGGGTCGGTTCCGATTCCGAACCGCGGGCCCGGTCAACGGGCCGAGCCCGGGTTTGACCGGGCCGGTTCCGGTCCGGTTCAGGGCCAAAACCGGCCCGTGGCCACCTCTACTTCCATGTGTAGACATTCATTCATTCCATTGTCACATGGCACACATACTAATTTCATTATTAGTATTCGTCAATGCTTTTTTGGTCAAATAATTCAATAACTGTACAAGGTGACTTGTCGTTTGCCTCTATGTGGTATTTTCTGGCTCTTCTGGCAGAGGATCCTTAGTTACAATGAAGCACTAAAGATTATATGTTTCATCGTGCCAAAACAGCATTCCAAATGCACTGTCAGATTCAATGGGCATTGAGACTGTTGTTTTGTGTGGAGTTAGCTTTCATTCTGCATATACACAAAAAGATTGTCCTATAAAAATTTAAACGGTTTCCATTGTTTTCCTTCTTATGCTGTGATGCCACTATTTCGTTCCACTCAAACTACATCTAGGAATCAAACTTAGTTCATTAGTTTTCAAATCTTTGCTTTGCATGGTTTATAAATATCCCCGGTTTTCTTACCAAAGTTGAATGTCTGTTTATCTTCCTATTATGTTTCTAACATAGTGGATAGGCCTCTTTGCATGTTTGGAATTTCTTTCTTTGAAGTGTAAGTTTAGATCTAATATGCTTGTGTACTACCAAAAAGGGTTATTTGTGTTCATGAATGCTCTTCAAGAAAGCTGGTTATGCATTTCTGGTTAGAAGTCGTGTCACCCCTATTGTCATTATGGTTGTCATCTCTAATCACATTCTTTATCTCTTGTTTTTCCCCTAACTTAGAGGAATTTATCTAATAAAAGTAAAGTGGTAAGTGCCATCGGTGCGCCATTTCGGAGTTATATGAATGGAAGCTTTGTTTTAATAAGTAGTGAGTTAAAAGAATCTATTGTTACTTAATGCTTGGTACTTATTCACCTAACATCATTTTATCGGCAAAAGTACACCACAAGTGCCATAATTTGTGTACGGCGATCACTTTGGTGCCATAACTTTTTTTCGGATCACTTTGGTACCAAGTCGGAGAAAAAGAGATCACTTTAGTGCTAATTTGGCAGGAAATCCGACGTGGCATTTTTTATTAATTTTTGACGCCGACGTGGCTCGCCGGAGGCTGAGTCAGCGTGTACAGTCAGCATTTTTTTTTAAATAATTTTTTTCAGCGTATACAGTCAGCATTTTTAATTTTAAATATTTTTTTCCTTTTTTTTTCTTCTTTCCTTTTTCTTTTCTTTTCTTTTCTCCCCTCGCCGGCTGGTTACCGGCGAAGCCCGGGAAGGGCTGGGTGAGGGCGGCCTTGCCCATGGCCGGCGAGGGGCGGCCGACCTCGCCGGCGACAGGCGAGGCCAGCCCAGGCGAGGGCTGCCCTAGCCTGGGCGGGCGAGGGTCGCCCATGCCCGACTCGGGCGGGCGACCCTCGCCCGCCCGGGCGAGGGTTTCCTCGCCCGCCCGGGTGAGGGCTTCCCTCGCCCGACGCCGGCGAGGGCGCCCCTCACAGGGCGGGCGAGGCTCGCCCTCGCCCGGATCCGACGAGGTGACCCTCGTCCGCGTCGAGCGAGGAAGCCCTCGCCTAGGCGCGAGGGTCGCCCTCGCTGAGTTGGGCGTGGGCGACTCTCGCCCGTGCCCGGGCGAGGGCGACCCTCGCCCGCCCGGGCAAGGGCGGACCTCGCTGGGCCGGCGAGGCGGCCTCGCCTGTCGCCGGCGAGGGTCGGTCGCCCCTCGCCGGCCATGGGCAAGGCTGCCCTCGCCCAGCCCTTCCTGGGCTTCGCCGGTGGCCGGCCGGCCACCGGCAACCGAACGGCGAGGGGAGAAAAGAAAAAAAAGAAAAAAAAAGAAAAAGGAAAGAAGAAAAAAAAAGGAAAAAAAATATTTAAAATTAAAAATGCTGACTGTACACGCTGACTCAGCCTCCGGCGAGCCACGTCGGCGTAAAAAATTAATAAAAAATGCCACGTCGGATTTCCGGCCAAATTGGCACTAAAGTGATCTCTTTTTCTCCGACTTGGCATCAAAGTGATCCGAAAAAAAGTTATGGCACCAAAGTGATCGCCGTACACAAGTTATGGCACTTGTGGTGTACTTTTGCCTCATTTTATCCAATCTTAATTGGTCCTCACGGATCACAAGTCATAATTATCTGCTGTTGGCAATGGCTGTTTTATATTCATCATCCTCCTTCACTGACATAAATTGTATTCCTACCTTTGCCTATCATAGGAAAAGGAAACTCTGATGCACAACATAAACTCAATCATTTCTTTTTGTTTAAATCTTTAGTCTTCAGGTATCGACATGGGGATAAAAAGGAGTCTGCATTAGATTAGAACGATGTGTTGGATCTTCCATACAACAAGCGATTGCTTCGGGCGGTCCACTTGCAATTTTATATGCCCAGAATTTAAAGAAAACAATCCCCTTTGGCACATAGTGCTTTTGGATTGTTGATTTTGATGGATTGTAATTTTAATTACTCATTTTAGGGATTGTTACTTTTGGCAGATAGTGGTTTTTATTCTTCATCTTTAACTTTGAATCGTTTTATTGCTATCCATATTACTTTGCTGGAAAAAAAATGAAACTAGAAAAAGGAACAAAAAAAAATAGGTTCTTGAGTAGACCTTGGAACCGGATCGGAAAAATAGGACAGGTTTCAAAACAGAGTTTAGGGAAAACAGGATAGGTTTTAGGTTCCAAAAAATGGAAACCGGTTATAATAGGATAGGTTTCAGATTCCAAGTCTGGATCCTACCCACTTTGAAATCGATCACCCTTAGTCTTCCGTTGAGTGCCTCACATAAGTTGTTATCAACTATGTTACAGTTGACCTCGGTGGTGAAGAAAGCATTGGACCAGTGCTTTGGCTATGTTTGAACCAAGTCATGATACGTAGCAAGACTAATTTTCTTCAATGCTTGAGCATGTTTATCATACTCTACCATAATACCTCTTAACACACTGCCAAAACAATCTTTGCATTTGTATTCCCTTATACTTCTTGCCCCAATTGGCATAGATGTGTCTAAAACACATTCTATGCTTAGCCGCGAGCAAAAGCTTATCAACATCTTTTAGAAGGCCCTACAGAATATGATTCTAATAGATAAAACATACTGTGAGCGTGATCATTTAAGAGACATAAGAATAAAAAAAAAAGAAACTTACCTTTTGCTCGTGACTAATTATGACCCAACCTTATTTATATATATTTATTATGTTGAAATCCCACATCAAATTTGTAAAGAACCACAAGTCCAGGTGTCTCCAGTCTCAACTTTGACAACTGCCCAAGCAATTGGGAACATTTGATCGTTTGCATCCTTCCAATGACACACAACATCTCACTCATACAAATTCCCTTTAAGAAGCAACCATTTAACCCCACAACTTTCATGCATCCATCAAGGAAGCCTTTTTTGCACGCAACAAAACAGATATATATTCTCTCAAACAATGCCTTTGAGTGTATGTCAAGCATTTCAATTTTCAATGTATTCATACTCCTATGATTTGTCTCTCTAAACTCCTTTGCATAATCCCACGACTTTGCATAGTCCTTCTTATAGTTTCCCTTCAAAACTTCAAAGGCAAACATCTTAGCCTTAGTATATGATTCATACTTATATTTAAGACCAATTAATCCTTGATAAGCTCATTCAAGGCATTGGTTTTCATAATTGGCATTGCTCTAATTGTACTAAGATAGTGCTTTGCCAACCAAGAAGTTGTGACTTTCTTATTATTGAAGCTAATGCTACACGTATGTTTTTTGTGGTATGTCTTCATATGGAATTGTACACTTCTAACATCAAAACATACAAAAATTTCCAAGAACAATTTTCATTGGCACATTTAGCTTTGACAAATTTCTTTTTATTCTTAATATATTTTTATCTCCCTACATTCAGCCACATGATACCTTTTTTAGAGCATCTTTAAATTGCCTATTATCATCAAACTTCATAGATGTAGTAAAAAGGCATTGCATAGTCAGGATGATAACTTAGAAAACCTACTTCCCCTTCTTGTCGCATCGACATCTTCTTGCTTACATCAGAATCCAAACTCATCTCCATCTGTTTCATGATAGTCTGTTTGGTATCCAGCTTCAGCAATAATCATATCAGATCGTTGGGGATTAGATGATTCTCCTATAGATTATTAGGATGGTACATCTTCTGTGAGTGATTCAGTTATAATCCAACCCTTTGTGGCCCTTGTGTGGAATTCCCTAATGTTCTTCCTTCCTTCTACAAGATCCTCACCATCCTCATCCTCATCATCAGTCAAGAACTTTGCATCGACTAGGAAGTCTGAGTGTTCGTTATCCGAATCAATTTTTTTAGCCTGACTAATGCCCTCATCAACTAATAAATCCTAATATAAACCAACACCCTTGCCGGCATCCTCACCTTATACAACACCCTCACCGACACCCTCACCAATGCCCCCACCCTCACCAACACCCTTACTAATACCCTCACCCTAACTAGCACATTCACTTATCTCATTATCAAATATTCTCCATAACTCTTAACACACCCCTGATATAAATAATTAAAAAGCAGATCGACAACAGTGCTATCTTTAATATGAATCTCAAACCATCTTTCAGAGACTCCCCAGGAAACTTAAAATAAAGTTTTTCAAAATATCCATTTACCCCATCCTTGATGTTTGTGATGAACCTATAATAACTCATTGGGCTGATATCTACGTATACTTGATAAGAATTTGGCGCGAAACACTGTTCCAAATTCGTGCGAAATTCGCGCGAAACACTATTATGAATTCGTGCGAAAACTAGCCAATCACGAAGCTAAAAAAGTAAACATAACAGTTTGGAGATGTGTATAAAACTACACTATACAAAGCACGTATTTATAAGTCAAGAGGCATTCACTAGGGTGATCTCCTTGTATTTCCCCTCAAATACGCTTTAAATGCTCACCAATAAGCTTCCTGCTTTTAAAGGAAGATGTGATCCCATTGCAGATTCGGTCATTCACCATCTGATTCTAAGTCAACAGTGGACCTAGGCAGCACTGCCGATGGGCCTTTGGCTACCTGGCGCTTGGTTCGATTTTAGCAAACCTATTATCTTCTATGTATCTGCTAAGCTTTCCCTTGTTAAGATCTTCAGGCAACCGATCACTATTTGCATCTCCTCCTTTTGTGACCTGATGAACGATGGATATTACTAAGCTATTCAAGTAACTCAACATCTTCCCCCAACATAGTCAAGCATTGGGCATCGGACAAAATTTCCACAGTGGAAAAGGCAAACTAATGTTGACTTGCCGCTCATCTCAACCCTATACAAAAAGACAATGCGTACTATAAGCAAACACATAATAAAAGGTCAACATAATAACATACGTGAAGACAATTTCTAAAACAATATGTATTAATAGTATAATTAAAGTCTCTTTTACGGCCAAATATTTATCAGGTTATAATGTGAAGAGGGTCCATGAATTTGCAATTTAAACGGATATGATGCAGCTTAATTATCAAGTGAACATGAGATTTGTAGAATCGTAAGTTCTTTTTTGCCTAATATCTTGAGTCTTACTCAATGGACCACATAAACCATCATCCATGGATCAAAATTCTCGACAAAAAAGCCATCTTTCATGTTTCCAAGCATAGAAGTGTTGAGTACAATGATGGAAAATGAGAAATCAAGGCATGTGACCCTCTTTTACGATCCTAATAGCATCAACAAAATGTTTCCAAGAAAAAGCATAGGAAATGCTAATCACTGACCACAAAAGCGCTTATATATGAACAACAGCTTAAGGACAAAATGTTGGAAAATTCAAATGCTGGGAAGACGTAAAGACAAAGAACATACCTTTATGTTATGTTCAAGTGCTCATAATGATGTAAGAAAATTCTAACAACACACGTGAAGATAACGAACCTTTTTGTCATGTTAAGGACTAGGAAAACATACATTTATGTTGTGTTGGCTGAGTGTCGACAACACAAGCAAATCATGACCACACATTTTATCGTGTTCGTTGCAGAATCTTGAGATCAAATCAAGTCACGACTGGGTTACGGGTGAATCGGGTTTGCCATTTAGATGAAGTTGTCAAGATGAATGGGGAAGCCGATTTGACGAAAGAATGACTCGGGCTTGAGCGAAATCATGCAATTTGAGTTGGGATTGAAGAGATTTGAGCGAGATTAGGGTGTTGGGTGAGTGAAATCTCAAGTTAGGGTACTTTGGATTGGGGAGTTGGTGAGCATTCGAGGATTTGGGGCAAGAAAAGAAACTTTCATAACGACAATTTTTTTTAATTGTGGAAATGGCGCCGTTTTGAACTCCGGCATCCACGTTAGCATCGGCTATTCGCCGGTCCGGCCACGTATGATGGCCAGCTCTATCTGGATATCCACGTAATAATTTTCTGGGCTAAATTGGCCGGAGGACTGAATTGGCAAATCATAAAAAAAATTATTATTGAATTGGCAAAATTGAAAGATTTATGACTTAATTGACAAATCGTCAATAGGTTTTGACTTTTTTTGACAATTTTCCCTAATTGTCAACCAATGATATCTATATGAAATCTTCATTAAAAATTGATTTTAACTAATGTATGACTTTCTCAATGGCGTATGATACGCAACATAAACATTATAAAACTAATTATTAATTAATCCTATACCCGGATGCAATCTAGGCGAGACATTAATTATTTTGAAATTTCCATGATGAATTAGAAATAGGAAATTATCATAAATCTACAATGATGACCTAAAGTAACTAGGAAATAACATGTATTAAATCCTAGTCATGCTTGAACTAAACATGATGATTTTCTAAATTACTACTTGATTTCTAATGCATCAAATATATGATATTCTCAATTAGAAAACATGTACGAATGCAAATGTAATGCATATAACATATGATTATCATGGGACGGTCATGATGTATCAAAACATATTAAAATTCATGAACTCATTTAAGTATTATGCAATATCATTCAAATATGATCAACATTTAGTAATGATATATGCACTAATTACTAATTCAACACCATGGTGACATAAGAACATTATATTATGCATTATGTGCTATATGCAATGTATTAAACATTATTAAGGATCCAATCCTTAGGTCCGATGCCCATATATACCTTGGTTAATGCATATAGCAAAGGATGTCATGGTATAATAACAAATCTAACTCATTGTTCATGCAATTACCAATCTTACCTTAATTAAGACTAACAAAGGATGTAAAGGAAGCAACGAGGGATGTCGATTGATGCTCGGTCACGGTGAACAACGCAGAAGCCACCTTAGGAGAGGTGATGGTCTCGGACTAGTGGACTTGGATTGGTGGTGGCTCATTGCTCTCGGCTGAATCCTCAAGAAACTGCAGCATAGGTACAAGAATGTAGTAGCAGTTCACAAACTATAGAGAAAGACAAAGATTGCAGTGATAGCTATAAAAACCGCAAGGAAAGGGATAATCTATGCATTGATGGATGAGAAGACGCAAGTGTTGTTTGGTGGAGGACGCTAAACAATAGAAAAGACCCCAAAGAGGAAAAACCACCAACGGAATACCAGGAAGGGGACTCCACCGAAAGAGCTTCCACGGGGGCGATAACACGAGAGAGACGTTGCGACTGAGTGATGTGTTGAGTATCTTGTCCTTATAATGGCTGATGGAGGGGTATATTTATAGGCTCTGGCGGTCAGTTCAAATTGGAATTAAAGATGTTCTGATTGAAATTTGAAGGAAATCTACCAATTATCTCTAATGTGCACAATATTAGATTAACAACTGAGATGAAAATGAATTTAGGACAAACAACGAGGATTAGATATGGTGATCAATCAAATCAAAAACATAAGATTGCAATTTGATCCAAGGGTGTGTGCAAATTGTGAGAATTAAGCAACCGAAGGCAACCATTGGATTTTCTACCAATTCAATAGCTAAGTTTGTTAGTAATATTGCAGAAAATCAAAGGATATATCCTCTTATGGCCAACCACTTTGGAGAGGAATTAGGTGTGCGACGGTCCATTGTAACATTTGTAGAGAGGCCATGTGATTTGCATGTGTGTGCTTGTGATCTGAATTTGAACTCAAAGCATATTTGAAATCCACCTCATCTATAATTTTGAATTCCAAGAATGTTGGAATTTTCAGTTTCAAGTTCATCTCTCCTCCCTCCCCGGACTACCCATCAACTTCACCTATGGTTTTCTGCAACATAGATTAGTCCTAAAGTGCAATGAAATGTATCCTAAATGCAACGCAAATGCAAATCTTGCAAGTGATATTTTTATTTGGGTTAATACCACCAAAAATCCTAAACTGGTACGTGTGTGACAATTTTATCCCGAACTTTTTTTTTACCACCAAAAACCCCAAACTGGTACACCTGTGACAATTTTACCCCAAACTTTTTTTGTACCACTAAAAACCCCAAACTAGTACACCTATGACAATTTTACTCCAAACTGGTAAACCCGTGACAAATTTACCATAAACTATTTTTTTGACCACGAAAAACCTTAAACTAGTAAACCTGTGACAATTTTACCCCGAACTAATAATTTTTTAATAGGGTTAATACCACGAAAAATCCTAAACTGGTACAGTCGTGACAATTTTACCGCAAACTATTTTTTTGACCACAAAAAATCCCAAACTGGTACACTTGTGACAAATTTACCCCGAACTATTTTTTTGACCACCAAAAACCCTAAATTGGTATACTTGTGACAATTTTAACCCAACTAATTTTTTTATATTATTTTTTATTTTTTTTCGAATTTTTTTATTAATTTTTATTCTTTTCTTTTTTTTTTCTTAATATTCTTTATCTTCAACCTCTGGCCGGTCGCCGGTCCGGCAACCGGCCAGAGGTGGAAGCCGGCGAGGTCGGCCCCGCCGACCGATGGCGAGGTTCGACCCCGCCGGCCGCTGGTGAGGGCTCGGCCCGCCGGCCGGCCGGCGAGGCCGACCTCGCTGCAGTTGCGGGCGAGGCCGACCTCGCCGCCGGCCGACGAGCTTGAGCCTCGCCGGATCCGGGCGAGGGCTCGGCCCCGACGGCCGGCCGGGCGAGGACCTTCGCCAGACCGGCGAGGTCGCCTCATCCAACGCCGGGCGAGGTCGGCCTCGCCCAAAGCCGGCGCTGGGCGAGGTCGAGCCTCGCTAGATTTGGCGAGGGCTCGACCCCGCCGGCGAGTCCTCGCCACCGGCCGGCGAGGTCGAGCCTCGCCAGCGGCCGGCAGGGCCGACCTCGCCGGCTTCCGCCTCTAGCCGGTCGCCAGTCGGGCGACCGGCCAGAGGTTGAAGATGAAGAATACTAAGGAAAAAAAAAGAAAAGAAAAAAATTAATAAAAAAATTCGAAAAAAATAAAAAATAATATTAAAATATTAGTTGGGGTAAAATTGTCACAAGTATACCAGTTCGGGGTTTTTTGTGGTGAAAAAAATAGTTCGGGGTAAATTTGTTACAAGCGTACCAGTTTGGGGTTTTTTGTGGTAAAAAAATTAGTTTGGGGTAAAATTGTCACAACTGTACCAGTTTAGGGTTTTTCATGGTATTAATCCTTTTTAATATTATTTTTTATTTTTTCGAATTTCTTTTCTTTTCTTTTCTTTTTTTTTTCTTCATCTTCAACCTCTGGCGTAAGCCGGCGAGGTCGGCCCCGCCGACCGCTGGCGAGGCTCGACCTCGCCTGAGTCGGGCGAGGGCTATCCTCGCCCGCCCAAGCGAGGTCGACCCTCGCCCGACTCAGGCGAGGGCTATCCTCGCCCGCCCAGGCGAGGGCTGGCCTCACCTGACGCCGGCGAGGGCAGCCCTCGCCCGACGCAGGCGAGGGTCGCCCTCGCCGACTCAGGCGGGGCTGACCTCGCCGGCTTCCGCCTCTGGCCGGTCGCCGGTCCGGCGACCGGCCAGAGGTTGAAGATGAAGAAAAAAAAAAGAAAAGAAAAAAAAATTAATAAAAATTCGAAAAAATAAAAAATAATAATATTAAAATTTTAGTTCAGGTAAAATTGTCACATGTGTACCAGTTTGAGATTTTTTATGGTATGTTCAGGGTAAAATTGTCACAAGTATACCAGTTTGGGGTTTTTTTGGGTATGTTCGGGATAAAATTGTCACATGTATACCAGTTTGGAATTTTTTGTGGTAAAAAAAATAGTTCGGGATAAAATTGTCACACGTGTACCAATTTGGGATTTTTGGTAGTATTAACCCTTTTTATTTTGGGTTCAAGCCGATCCTTTTTTTCTTATGCGATAAATGATTAAGTGGAATAGCCAAAATTTAGGTGTCAACATAGAGAGAACATATATTTTTCCGATAGTATCTTTACTAAAGTTTGAATCATAAAGGCTCTTTCTATGAGCAATATATTTTTTGCCACTAAATTAATCTGAACTTTTGTAATAGCAAAACAATGGGTAATTGCAAACTTTTTTATTAAAAAAAGAAAAGATACGTTTCGTGATAGTTTTTTCCTCTCAAAGGGGATTAATTGATGCAATAAAAAGAAAGACAAGTATAGTCTGTCAATTAGAATCTTCGAATATAGGGGCAACAAATAAACATACTATAAAATTAATGAATAGACTAGGGGTAATCGGTTCCAGGGTGGGTAGGTTCCAGACCTAGAACCTGAAACCGACCCTGTTATAACAGGTTCCTAGTTTTTGAAACCTAAAACCTACCCTGTTTGTTTTGGAACCTATTTTGGAACTTACCCTATTTTTCTGGTCCGATTTCAGGGTCTACCCGAGAACCTATTTTTCTTTTGTTCCTTTTTCTGGTTTCATTTTTTCTAGCAAAATAATATGAGTAGCAATGAAACGATTCAAAGTAAAATATGAATAATAAAAATCACCATCCGCCAAAAGCAACAATCCCTAAGATGATCAATAAAAATTACTATCCACCAAAAGTAACAATAAAAAATATAGTAATAGTATGATCTACGATTTTTTTTTTTAACACAAGCTAAAAATCGATTCCAAAATCGGTCCGGGTGAGTCTTCACTTGGTATCGAGAACCAGACCAGCTCCAACCAGTTCCCAAAAAATAAAACCTATTCTCGAACCAGTTCAAACAAGAACCGGTTCCGAACCTGTTTTTCGGGTGGTCCGGTCCGGTTCTTGGGTAAACCCAGTCCGGTTTCACACCCCTAGAATAGACTCTACTTGGAACATTTATGCATTTAATTAGCACAAAAGTTTGGATTAAATGTAATATAAATCAAACTGATGTACCATTTTTCCTAATTTATTCACAATATATTTGATTATTGATGTACATGCACTTCTTTATGACCTTAGTCTAAAGAATAAAGTAATTAAACTAAAAAAATGATCTCTCCTTGGTTCTAACACGAGAGCTAACATTTTATCATCACTTTTTGACTAAATCTAAACAAAGAAAGGTGTGCATATCTAATTGTTCCACAATTTTTTAGACATCCGAAAAGCAAATATTAATAGTAGTTTGAGTAAGACTAAAAAAGCGAGTTTATTTTATTTTAGAAAACTTCTATGAATAAAGAAAACTAGGCAACAACGTTTTTGACATATTGAAAATTTGTCTTCCACATTTTCTAGTTTGATCACAAATCTAAGGGTCTTTTTCGAGCATTAAAGAAAATCTATCAAAGTGTGACATAAAAAACAGATCAAGTTTATTCCAGAAATTATAGGTAAAAAAAAAATTGAAGCAAACTTTATCGTGTTTGAAAAAAAATGAATTTATTCAAGTTCTATATGTATGCAATCATGAAATGAATTTATTTGAGTAATTATTATATCGCTTGAAATAATTAGTTAACGAAAAATATATCCATTATCGAAAATAATCTATATCTAAATTTTTTTGTGAGCAATGAAAATATATATTTCTTTTATTCATTTTTATAAGTGATATGAGCGATCATTTTAGAAAATCGTTCTTTTTAAATTATTCATTTTTTGCAAAATAAAAGAAACTATTTTTCTTGGTCGAGAGAAAGATTCCATTCATTTCTCCGAATAATACTTACTTGGAAGGCTTTCAAGCCTAGCAAATCCTAGATAGTTGTGCAACAAAGCAGATGACAAAATGCAAATAACAAAGCATAGTCTGCAGCTAGAAACACTCTCTCATCCTTCAAGAACAGATTTGCTGTCGTAAACGTTTAGCGGCCGATTACCAGAATCACTGATACGCACACGTCGAGATCTCTATCGCGCTGTGCTTTTGGTATGCTAAGGAGGTACTTCCATTTGTCACGAATGGGGAAACTGTCCCCCGAATGGGTTACTAAGGTTCGATACGGATATTTCGCTCAGACGTCCCACAGACATCCCATCACTAGACAAACGGGGGGTTTCTCCCAAATCAT